AGCAGCGTTGCCATATTCACTGATATCATTGTTTTAATAGAATTAGTATCGGAATGAAAACTATGTTAATCTTCGGCCCTGTTGAAAATTGGTAATCTTTTTGAAAAAAAGTTATTTAGAAAATAGTTAAGATATTTGTTATAGAATGACGCTAAAGAGCCAAAAAATTAAATTTGTTAAAAAGTTGAAATTTTTGTTGTTTTTCTTTAAAAATATAAGTTTTTCGCGGTTTAGCGTCATTCTTGGTTCATTTTTACAACGATTGGCCTGAACCATTTTTTTTTACAATTTTTTTTAACTGCCTCAAATGTAAAATTGATTTTTGGCGGAGGAGCGTTCGTCATGTTTGCTCTTAAATAAAAATATTCAAAATTTGTTAAAATTCCCTTAATTTTAGAGATTCTACCTGGCGAGGCATCCATATTGTTACGACTTTAAGCCACATCCAATGCAATTGCCTATAAATGAATATAAGCACATGAGATCGCTACACCACCAATATTCTTCGAAAAGACTTTGTTTCACTTTCTGTGGATGAATTAACCATTAAATGTGAGACTAGAACATCTAAGCGGACAGTGTGTAACATTATTAAAGAAGATACACTTATTGGAGAAGTTTCACATCCGAAAAAGTCCCCAGGAAGAAACAAGACCTTTATTGAAACTTGGGTAAAGAATGTAATAAGGCAAATGATACATTCTTTTTTTTGAAATGAAATTCCTACACTTAAAAAAACGTGACAGAAATAGCTTTATAACAAAGAAAGACAAAATCATTGCGTGGAGACATGGTTATTTAACGGACACAAGGAATCAGCACAAAAAGGTAGTTTATTTAGATGAAACATGGGTTAATGCTGGACATATAGTAACAGAAATTTGGTAAGATATCTCCATCAAAACTATCAAAACTATCAAAACTATCAAAACTATCAAAACTATCAAAACTATCAAAACTATCAAAACTATCAAAACTATCAAAACTATCAAAACTATCAAAACTATCAAAACTATCAAAACTATCAAAACTATCAAAACTATCAAAACTATCAAAACTATCAAAACTATCAAAACTATCAAAACTATCAAAACTATCAAAACTATCAAAACTATCAAAACTATCAAAACTATCAAAACTATCAAAACTATCAAAACTATCAAAACTATCAAAACTATCAAAACTATCAAAACTATCAAAACTATCAAAACTATCAAAACTATCAAAACTATCAAAACTATCAAAACTATCAAAACTATCAAAACTGCTGTTTTCCTTATACGTAAATAGCCTACTCAATTTAGAAACATCTGGTGAGATATTATGTTTCGCTGACGATACTGCCATCATTTATAGCAGTAAAACATGGAATAATTTACAAAAAAAAATTGAAAATGATATGCAAAAAATTATGGAATGGTTTAATCACAACTTACTAACTGTTAATTTTAAAAAAACATTTTTTATTCCCTTTGCTGCTTACAATAACAGTATGCCCGATTATCAATTAATTACAATCAATATAAATAACAAGGATACAATAATAAAAAAAGCTAATGATATTAAGTATCTTGGCATTACGATAGATTGTAATTTAAAGTGGGACAAACATGTACAAAATATAACAAAAACACTAAGAAGTATACTTTATAAATTTAAATACTTAAGTACCATTTTAAGTGTTCATTACTTAAAAACTATTTATTATGCACTCGTTGAATCAAGGCTACAATATGGTATACTTGTATGGGGTGGGCTGTACCAAGTTCACTTAAAGAGTATGGAAATTCTCCAAAAACGATTTCTAAAATTATTATTAAGAAAACCTTTTCATTTTTCCACAGACCTACTTTTTCAGGAGGCCAATTTGCTTGATATTCGTCAGTTATATTGCCATGCAGTTTTAATTTTTACATATAAAAATAAGGAAATCATATTACATGAAATTGATCACCTGTATGATACTCGTCAAAAATCGTCATTATTTGTTAAGACCCCGTTATTAAAAAAAACTATAGGACAAAGATGTTTTACCTTCTTAGCTCCTAAAATATACAATTTTCTGCCAGAAATCTATAAAATCCATATAAGAAAAATAAATTCCTTATCCTACATTAAAAAGATCTTCAAAAATTTTTTGATAAATACTGGTCGACAAAATATTCATGACTTAATTGAATTAAACTAAAACATCTAAATAAAAATTAAACCTAAAGTAATCTCTAAAAAAATAAAAATTAAAAAAAAAACATCAAATTTAACCAAATTAGTGTAATCATTTTCATGCTTTCTTGTTGTCATCAAAAATTGTTCAATGCTTTTCATCTTTTTTTGTCATAATTTACAATTCGTTTGTTAATTCTACATTTCATATGTCAATGTGTGTTTTACATGTTCTTGAAAATTCTGTTTTGTTATATTCTAATGCTTTTTCTTTTTATATAATTTCTTTAACTAATTATAATATTTATTAAGAACGCATTATTATTGTTATATTTATTTGTATTAAGTATTTAATTTAATAATATTAACTACTCTTATTATACTCATGTTCATATTATTAATTAATCATTAGTCTGCCAGCTAGTACAATTAATTATTATTATTCATGTATATTATTTATTATTATTATTAATGCACATATTTACATTTATTAATATTGTAATTACTATTGGTATGATTATTAATTTTAAGTCTATTGTTATAATTATTAATTTTTATCAGCAATTATGGCGCTACTAATAAACAGAAGTAATTTCCGAGCACAACCTTATGGTTTTTTCGGACTAACCCATGTTTATTTACATTAAAAGAGAATTTATTTGTAAAAAAAAAAAAAAAAAAAAAAAATATATGTAAGAAGTAAAATAAACATTATTATCAAAACTATCAAAACTATCAAAACTATCAAAACTATCAAAACTATCAAAACTATCAAAACTATCAAAACTATCAAAACTATCAAAACTATCAAAACTATCAAAACTATCAAAACTATCAAAACTATCAAAACTATCAAAACTATCAAAATTATCAAAACTAAAAAAAAAATTATGGAAGATGTCTCTTGTGTATTAAAAAAATTCAACAGGCAAAGTAAATCGTTTAATAATAACCCACATTGGAAGCACCGATGGATTTTTGCTAAATGGTTTATCAATGTTCGAATCAAAAAAAAAAAAACAAAAGACTACCATGAAGAAATGGATGGCCCTATGTTTAAAAATTGGTTTAAGAACATTTTAAAAAATATTCCTGCAAACTGCATTATTGTTTTGGATAATGCATCCTATCACAGTTGATTAAAGGGGTCACTACCTACAACAAGTTCGAAATAAAAGATATTTCAAAATGGCTTCGTTCTAAAAATATTATCACTCGTCCTAAATTCTTGAAGGCAGAATTGCTGTTAATAGCAAGGCAACATAAAAACAAATTAAAAACATATATTATAGACGAGATGGCCGGAAAAAAAGGAATTAAAATTCTCAGATTGCCTTCTTACTAAGCAGAGTTAAATCCCACTAAACTAATCTGGGTACCTACGTATCCTCGACTAGTGCGTTTAAGCGCTCGCTTTGAAGAGATGTGAGTGGTTCAATGCGAAGACATGTGATGGGATTACACAATGATCTCACTACGTGTAGACTTTGCATGGAAGAGGAAGAAACCTCATACCATGTGATCTTCGAATGCGAAGCTCTTACTAGGCGACGTTTTATCCTTTTCGGCCTAGAACCGGAAAGAACGCCCCAGGAACACTTGGTAGGGAACCTATTAAAACTAACCAAAGACACAGAACTATTCCAAATATAGTACCTGAATATGGGGAAAACAGACTAATACAATAGACCCAAGCGACGGCAGTGTTCTGGGTCAAACCTAACCCTACCTGCTTAAAAAACCGATAAAGATAAAGATCATCATAAACTCTTCGAGGAAAATTATTGGCCTCTCCTAATTCGTTTAGTAATAAGATATTTAAAAAATTTATGAAACAAAACGAAAACACTTTAGAATACAGAATTACAGTAACGTGCATCCAATTAGACCTTTGCAAGCTCTTTGGACCTTCATATTTGAATGCGAAGAGCAGAGATCCACTCGCTTCCAAATGAGTACCCACAATATAAATTCGAACGACCAAGAATAGGTACAACACGCATTTGAACAAATACGCATTCGCATTTAGTAAATGCGCATTCGCACTAATTAAAGCAACAGTCGAGGATAAGTTCCCTGGTCACAATTTAAAGGTTATATTTCTCGAAACATTTAAATTACCTGCTGTGTGAAATTTGTTTTTGAAGGCTGATTTTGATGTGAATGAAGAACTTTGGAGAAAATGCATTGATCATGGTAAAAAGGTAGGAAATTCATTTTGGAAAGTGGATATAGCAATGCAAAACTCAATGGAACCTATAATAATAAACCTCAGAAATGACAATGATAATGATACCAATAGTTATAGTGAAAATAGGGACTTTTAATGCTAAGAAATTAAAAAAAAGTTTAATCCCATTAACAACATATATAATCCTCCTGATTATTCGTTGGGTTAAATTTAATTCGTTCAATGTTAAGATGCAACAATTTTGTCAGAAGGTGTAGTTTTATTTTTTGTAAATAATACAACTTTTTTTATTCAAAATGTAATCTACTAAGTGCGTATGTACTATTTTATGTGCTGTGACCTTATTTATGTTATAGAAACTTATTTTGCAAAGTACGCCTATGGAATGTGACGTTATATCCTCACTTTTACTGCATTCCTCTTTTATTCAGAATTTATTTATAGTTTGATTTAAAATAGCCAACTAAAAACTAAACATATTGGTTGGATTTAGTAAATTTTATAAATTTTTTAATATTGTTATTAAAACCTTAAATTAGATAGTAAAATCAACAAAAAATATATGAGTCATAAATTCTCATGTGATCTGTTTCAACGACGTCAAATTTTAACAGAGCACATCATAATTGGTATTGAAAGTACTTACCAAATCCCTCATCCTTCTTATTTTTATTAACGATCATCAGGTCAACAATATCTTTCGGTTTGGATACATTTATTTCCTTTCTTGTTTCGATTACTTCAGTAAACACTTTAATGAGGTATCCGATAGCAGTAGTGTCGACGAAATTTAAACCTAAATAATTAACCCATGACGTCCTCACAAAATAGAGGAGTTGTACTCCTAGAGTTTTCCAAGATGGATTAAAGAGTTTTCTAAGTATTTCTCTAAATATACTTTTATCGTCTTCTAGACATTTAGTTTCTATGTTAAAGAAACACCTGGCTATGGCTTCGGTCATGAAATTTGTATAGATTTCCTTAACGCAGAGGGGATCTTTACTTTTCGATATTTGAAACATTAGATTGTTGGAAACATCATTAATTTTATCAGTCATTCCTTTTAGTTTACCAGAAGTAAACAAAGGGGTTAATTGGTTCCTGAGTAACTTCCATCTACCACTTCTGGACATTAACAAAAAGTTTCTAAAAATGTCATTGTGAGTCGATTCTGCTAGTGTTCTATCTGTGAACAATCTAAAATCTTTAATTAATATTCTTTTTATAATTTGTGGGTCTTTCATAAGCAAAACAGGACGATCCAATAAATAGATGCCTAAATATGGAGCGTCACTTTGATCGTATAAATCTTTAAATACTTCACCTCCCGATTTTGTAAAAGTTGCGATATCGAAAATATTGCCAAAGAACGGGAGTGGTTTGGGATTAAAAATCCCTCTGTCTTTCCAATAATTAAATGCTTTTAAATGTTTGTATGCCAGTGTTCCTAACAGAGATAGGATTAGCACGAATAATGCTATAATAATCATCTGAAACAAAAAAATACAAGAGTAGAATATTAAAGAATTTTTTAAATTTCAGCAAATTTTACATAGGACATTATATTTGCCTACGACCAATATAATTTCTTTTACGAACGATGCTAATAAATGTAGGTTTGCATTTAACAAATCTATTTGATACTATATTTTTCTACGACTAATTGTAATAAACGCAAGTTCTTATTCAACAATTTTTTTTTAATGGCTTGGGCACTGGCTCTTTAGGGGCGTTTATTATATATTAATAAACTCCCCTTATGGAGTGTTTATATTTTTTCTGTGAAAAACCACTCCATAAGGGACGTTTATTAATACGAGGATTGCCTTTTAAGTTTTTACAAAAAGTAACACAGAAACGAAGTTCGAAACAAAGTGTTTTAATGCTTTTCGAAATATCCGCGTTTAAGCTCTATACATTTTTGCATACGCTCCAACCAATTCTGGAAACATTTTTTCCACTCTGGAGGTGATATTGTAGGAACATGGTTTTGAAAGTCTTTAACAGCTTTTTGAGGTGATGAAAATCGTTGTCCGCGCAATTTTTGTTTGACAGTGGGAAACAAGTAAAAGTCATTAGGCGATAAATCGGGTGAATAGAGGCAATGAGACATTAATTCCATATTTGTCTCCATTAAATATTCAGTTGTTTAACGTGCTTTATGGGAGCTGGCATTATCGTGATGCAAGAATAATACGTTTTTTGTTCTTTTTCCTTATTTCATCGAAAACTGTTGGCAAAAAAATTGTTGTGTACTATTCAGCATTAACAGTTCTTCGATAATAATAATAATTCTCTCCCTAATTCACCCCCTTGCAAGTTAATTTTAACTCAAAAGCTGGGCTTGTGCAGGGAAAGAAACGGCTATTATTATTATTTGCCTTGGCGCGCCGAGCGGCTTAAAGATGATTGATGGTGCCATTTGACTTACAAGTTGCTGGCCGGATAGAAACATACTTGGACAGTAAGGAGTCCGCCTTGGGTGTTTTCATAGACATAGAAAGTACTTTTGATAAAACCACCTTCTCAAAGATAATATACTCACTAACCAACAGAATGTTCCACAAATGGTTAGTGGGTGGATACATAACATGTGCAAGGACTATTCATTCTCTATCAATCCTAAGAAGACAAAAATGGACCTTTTCACAAAGAAAAGGATACAAATGAAATTAAAACGTCCAGAACTCCTAAACACAAAACTAAACTTTGCAACAGAGGTGAAGTGCCTAGGTCTCACCTTTGACAGCAAGTTAACATGGAATTCGCACTTAGAAAACAGAGTTAAAAGAGCATACATTACTTATGAACAATGCTGCCGAACCGTGGGGCGCACCTGGAGTTTCTCCCCCAGAATCGTCGCATGGACTTACACGGCTATCATAAGACCTATGCTAACGTACGGTGCAGTTGTCTGGGTACCAAAAACCTAAAAATTAAGAGCTATCCGTAAATTAGAACAAATTCAAAGAACAGCATGTCTCAACACAACAGGAGCCATGAAAACAACACCGAACAGAGTAATGGAAGTCATTCTTAGTCTCACTCCCCTTGATATTTACATCAAGGTCTCATTTTCTATATTTAACAAACCACCTCGGGCGAAAATCTCTGTCTCAGAAGAAAGAAACCAAGGCTTAAGATGGATCAAAAGTCACGCCACATCGAAAGAAAACCGCCTTGCTGATTCACTAGCCAAGAAAGTAGCCAACCAAATACTTTTAAGACCTGGCCTTTCTATTGGCCTAATAAAATCGGTGGCGACAGACCTAATTAAAGAACATTCCCTTGTGAAATTCAAGGAAAGATGGGATGAAACAAGAAATTGCAGAGTTGCCAGGGAGCTCTTAAATTATCCTGACAACACTGCAGCAAACAAATACTTGACTATGACTAGACAGAATATGCGCCTAGTCACAGGCATTCTGACTGGTCATTGCCAAGTACGGAAGCATGTACATATCATGGGGCTGTCAGAATCCGCACTCTGTAGACAAGAAGATGAGACCCGAGCATATCCTTTACGATTGCTCGTCGCTCTCATTTATTAGATTTGTGTTCGGCGAGAAGCTCCTCTTGGCGATGTTGTCAACTACATTAAATCTGTAGGCTGGCTCACGAGAAAGGAGGTGCCTATCATCTAAGGAGGATGCATAATGAGCCTAATGAGGCCTAAGTGCCGTGGGGGTAACCAACCATCGACCCTCCACACGTTACAGATACAGATGTCATTTAAAAAAATATAAAGAAATTTAGTTCAATATAAATTTAGTGCCACCCTTTTTCTGGGAGGTATGTAAACACAACAAATATTAACCTTGTATCGTTTTTTGCGGTTGGGTATAACGGTGACCCAAACATCCTCAGCCTCAGAGATCTTCAGCCTCAGAGCTCCACAAGTCCTCAGAGAAACTAAAAATTTCATTTGACACTGCTATTAAAACACCTCCACCACACAATTTGTTTAAAGAGCTTGATTCTCTATGTGCATTAAATTTCAGGAAAACAGGAGGGCGCTTAAATCAAAATTTGACACAACAATATTGGTATTACTGAATTTCTTATAAAATTACTTTTTCAAAAATGTGCCAGTACTTTCCCTATCTAAATTCTAAGGGTTGTTCACCCCACTGCTCGAGGGTTGAAATGTCGTCAGTAAAGAAAAACTTTTCTAGATCATAATAATATTATTCATATTATTCAATCTGGTTTTCGCTCTAATTACAGTTGCAACACTGCCCTACTCTCAGTTATTGACGATATCATTAGAGCTACTGACCAAAATCAACTTACGGTTTTAGTATTATTAGACTATAGTAAGGCGTTTGATAGAATAAATCATGTGATGCTAATAGGGCTATTACACCATCTGGGATTTAATGAAAATTCGAAACGTCGTATTGCTAACTATCTTAATAATATAATATAGTATGTTAAATATAAGGATAAATTATCTTCTTTACTAAACATAGAAAATGGGGTTTCCCAAGGATCTATTCTCAGTCCTTATTTTGTATATATACTGATAAGGGAAATTCCCAGATAACGAAATTTTAAATTAAAATGTCAAAATTGAAGTTAGCAAAGCTGGACGGTTTAGAGTCTAGAATAATTTTATTGTAAAATCAAAGAATACCTACCCAAGAAGCGAAACTAAATGGGCGATTCGTGGACAAAAAACTGCCAAGTTTTCTCAGTGTTTTAGAGGTGGTTTAACGTCAAATATAGCTGTCAATTTATGTAGAGCAACGTTTGGTATATTATTATTATTATTAGCGTTTTGTGAAAACCGCAGTATAGTTAACTAGCTGTATTTAACTAAGTACCTAGTAATTAGAAATTATATAGTTTTAAGATTTTTATTACATAAAAAAAATACATTGCGCTCTTCGTAAATTTTAATGAACGTTTTTGCATCTGGCTGTAAATGTTTTATTTTTAAAATGTCTAAATCAGTATTAACTAATGATAATTTACGACTACGTAATATGCATCATTTAATTTGTTAGTCTTTTATTTAAAATGTATTTTTTGTTTTTTAAACCATTTAAATTAAAACAGTAAATAAACAATAATATAAAACAATATTTAAAATATATGACAAACTCATTTCGAGGGACCAAGTCATTGCTATCAGGATGCAACCGAAATGCATGCAGCTACCTACAGTACTTCTGGATATGTATCGTGTGAAGGGTGGGTTACCCTATGCACTTAGGCCTCACTAGGCCCATTGTGTATCCTCTTAAGATAATAGGATTCCTAGAAGGTAAGCCCGTCTACAGATTAAATGTAGGTGACAACGTCGCCAAGAGGTGCTTCTCTTATATCGGCTAGTGTTAACAATACTCGCTGGAAACTAATCTTATAATAAATAAGAACGTCAGGCAATCAGATGATATGCTCAATGGTCTCATCTTCTTGTTCGCACCCCTTGCAGGGTGCGGATTATGACAGCCCCATTATATGGATATGCTTTCGTACTTGGCAATGAATAGTCCGAATACCTGTGATCAGACGCAGATTCTGTCTAGTCATAGTGAAGTATTTGTTTGCTGTAGTGTTGTCAGGATAACTTAAAAGCTCCCTGGTAACTCTGCAGTTTCTGGTTTCATCCCATCTTTCCTTGAATTTCACAAGGAAATGTTCTTTAATTAGGTCTGTCAGTACCTATGTTGTCAGTCCAATAGACGGGAAAGGTCCAAACAGTATTTGGTTGGCTGCCTTCTTGGCCAGTGAATCAGCACCACATTATTGATGGATATACTCTTGCCAAAGCTTCGTGACATTCTAGTACTAACCCTTAGTAAATTCGTAGTATGTTCAGGGTAAGTAGTGCTTATCTGCTATCTGTATAGATGAGCTTGTTCCTACCAGTGATATTATTTCTGATGATTTATTTTGCTGCTATGACAATCTCCATGAGCTCGGTTTAAGCTACATTGCTCACAGCTTATTTTATGTTGAGGTTCAAGGAATTGGAGTATATTCTACATCATGAGCCTTGTTTTGTTTTAGAACTGTGGGTGTAGATATGAATCGTAGCTGCCACTTCAGGATCTTCTATTCTAAACATCAGTTTCTATTCCATCTGTGCAGAGGAGTGTCATTATCATCAGAGCAACCACCTTGATGTAAATATCAAGGGGAGTGAGACTAAGAACGACTTGCATGGCTCTGGTTGGTGTGGTTTTCATGGCTCCTGTTATGTTGAGACATGCTGTTATTTAAATTTGTTCTAGTTTGCGAATAGCTGTCAATTTTTGGATTTTCGGTACCCAGACAACTGCACCGTATGTTAGCATAGGTGTTATGATGGCCATGTAAGTCCATGTGACGACTCTGGGGAAGAAACCCCAGGTGTCCCTCACGGTTCGGCGGCATTGTTCATAAGCAATGTATGCTCTTTTGACTCTATTTTCCAAGTGTGAGTTCCATGTTAACTTGTTGTCAAAGGGGCTACCTAGGTACTTCACCTCTGTTGCAAAGTT